CCCGGATGGCCCTCGGGAAACCCGGGGTTTTTGAAACTGGGGAGGAATTTTGGCGAGGGTTCTGCCGGGCCCGCCGGTGATGCAGATGCGATCGGCTTCGGGCGCTGCGCCGTAGACCGGGCCCAGCCACGCGGCGAGATCCTCGCGGAGCGGCTGGAAGCCGGGGTCGGGCGCGTACTGGAGGCCGGGGACGGAGATGGTCGGGTCGGAGAGGGCCCGGGCTGCTGCTGCTGTGAGCGCGGCCGCCGGCAAGAGGGACGGCGAGGGCCAGCCCCGGAGCAGGTTGATCAGATGCGGGGTTCGGGTGACCATGATGGGCGCCGTTTGAGACGTCGTGGATCGTCCAGCTTTGGGAAGCGGGGTTATGAGGGCGCTGCTTGGGAGTCGGGCGAGGAGTCTGGTAGAGCGAGATGGTAGGCACCTGCTCATACCTCTCTTAGAATGAAAGACGTTGAGCCAGTTCTGTGTCGACGATTGTGGGATTTGTTTGCTTGTGAGCAAGCCCGCTGAGGTTCGGGCTCTACGCCGGCCCGGACGAAGGTTGCGGGGGTTGGTGTCGAATTGCGGAGGAGACCCACACTAATAGTGATACTTTTAGTGTAGAACAAAGTATCAATTGACTAGATCCGATGGAAACTAGTGTTGGCGTTCTGATTGATACCAGACCTTATTGTAATCGGGCATGGAACGAAATCAAGCGAGTGGGAAGACGCCGCATTAAACATCCCGCTCTCAGCGTACGGCGAAGAGGGACATGACCGAGGCGGATCTGCACGATGGCGTGCTTGTATTTGCAAGATTGTGGGAAACATGATTTGGCACATAGTCCACGCTGTTCACATATTGGAATCAATGTTCCAAGCCTAAACAGTCTTGCAAACATCGGCAAACTTGAGATTGGCGAGTGCATATGATCAGGAGCAGTTGAAGCTATTCTCCGATCATATTGAATCCCCTACGCCTTGATTTGTGTGCCGCCGAGTCGTGAGGTTTTGGCAGTTCTTCACACGCATGGGATTTCGAAGCTTCCATACAAGAACCTTACATGACAATCCCCGTCACGAATCTGCACTAGACCCGCAGGACCTTTCCCAGAAGACTGTGTTGAACAAGCGTGGCTGAGGAGGACTTGGCATGGAACTCGCCTTTTTGTACACTCATGTTCTTCGAGCGTAGGGTATCGCCGCTTACACGGTCGGAGCAAGGACTTGTTTAAGGACCGAACAACTTTCCCAGGGCGGTTTCCCCGGGTAGTAAGATCGCTCACGAACAAACTTTAGAAATATTTCCTAATCATTACCCAAGGGGGCACGTTGAAATCGTCCCTTCTAAGGCTGTTATGGGCAATGGATTGACATTTGGTATCAATACAGCTGCATCTTTTAGTCTACTAGTCGAGGGGGTCCACCCCTCGCACCTAAAATCAGGTATATATCTCTTTCAGTATATGTAGCGGGCTCGCGCCATCTCTCGTACTAATTTATGTATTCAACTATAACACTATATTACTACTATACTAAGGCGGTACTGAAGCTACTGTGTAGATGGCAACGCTGGGAAGTCTGTCGAACAAAATCCATCGCACTGTAGTCATGAGTACAAGTAATCTCCTCCTACGAAGCACATTGAGAAAGTCTGGCCGGGATCTTCATAGTATGATTTTCAAATGGTCCCTAAAGCCGCTGCACGTCAGAACATGGCGGCTATAGTACGTCAGACAATTCGAGTAGCCGGTACAATTTCCAGGGCTGTTCAGTTATTGTGAAACAGTCCGTTCGGACGTAGCACCGGATATTCCAGCATAATGGTATAGGGCATACCAAGGAACCTACTACCGTTTTACCCGCGAACTCCCACTATTCTATGTACCCGGTTTCGCCCTCCCTGCTATCATCGCTCTCGAAAAGCTTTCGCTCCAGGGCTGCTTCTTTGATCGAAAAGACAACCACGACGTCGCCTTCTTTTCCTCGAGAATGCTGTCTCAGCGTGCATGCTTCATCATTAGGGGTCCAAAAATGTTAGGATATCCATGCGAGAAGACGAATTCGGTGTTTATTAACTGCATGGACTCGCATGAGCGTGAGCATGTCGTCCCTGTTGCATAAGGCTAAGGCAATGCACCCTGGGAGGTACACACGTCCTTCAAGACATGTGCCCATAACCCACATCTGGGGCCTCCCAGAGGTCCTGATCATCTGGCCAAACTGGCTTGTTGTTCCGTTTCATTGTAGAGTCGGGCTTCTCAGCGGCATGGGTCGCCTCCTTGAATTCCAGCGTATCGGGGTCCTTGACATAGCCATGACAAGCGACATGAGTCTCGAGACCTAAATGGTCCTGCGTTTTGTAGCTGAAAAGTAACGTGATCTCCCCTGGGGTCCTTCTGACGTCTCCCATTGATGGTGGTCGTTGAGTGAACTTCGCTCCTGTTGCCAGTCAGTCATGATGGGACGATCATTGGATCGGGACGTTTTGTCCCAATTCCTGATTTCGACATGACAGCATACCGAACCAAGACTGCCTTGGGATAGAGCTGCTTGTCGCGCGCTGTTTGATACGCCAATGCAATAAGTTGGCGTATCCTGGCATCGCTTCTGGGGATTTGTTTAGCGTGGAAGTAGTATTTGACGATGTTGATGGAAGACATGATATCTGAGAAAAGTATAATTGTGGAAAAGATATACTACCGAAGGAGCGGAGGTTTCATACCTATAAATACGAGTATTTACTGTTGGTCATCGTTGTTCGCGTAGACGTCGTGATGAGCCACAGCCCAAGCACGAAGCGCCCTCTAGGCGCCTCAATCCTAGAAGTTCTATTCCATGGCCAGCGGGGCCTGTCGTGGGTGCTTGAAGTAGACCACTTGTGGTCTCTATCACGCTGTGAATCATGTTTGTGGTTCCATAGCTTGTCGCCAGAGCTTTTTAAGCTCATCTAATTGGGGTGCATTGTTCGCTGGCGCGTGAAGAAGGTCGCAGTGGGCGCTTCGGTTCATTCGCGGGCCCCACCCAGCAGCCGCGCCCGCCACTGTATCATCATGGTTGTATCCTGATTGATTAGGACACTGTCGACAACGCGCCTTCTACCGTCATGATCTAGCGCACCAACCTCCAGATCAACAGACCATCGAGCCCCGAGACTCATACATTACCAGAAAGTAGTGATCTCTCATGCGCTGCATATGAGTACTTGGCTTTCACGTCATGCCCTTTCGTGGCGCGCGACATTTCGAAGGGTTTGCTTTCGGAGCCCTTGTTTTTCACTGTGGATAGGATCGAGCTTCCTCCACTCACAATACTCGACCATGTCAGCATCACCCGTTGAGTACGGATACGTCGAAGGAGTAGAGCATCTCAGCGACTACCGACCGGGCGGCTATCATCCTATTCACATCAATGATCGACTTGAAAAACGATATCGTATCGTACACAAGCTCGGCCACGGCACATTCTCCACTGCCTGGCTTGCCGTCGATGAGAAGACATCAAAATATGTCGCTATCAAGGTTGGCACCGCGGACGCGGAGCACACCGAGGTTGATATTCTTTCCCAGATCACAGAGAGCATCGCAAGCTGTAGCGACTCGGAAGAAAAGTTGTCGCTGGATCCCGTCGTTCTTAATCGCTTCAATCTCAGCGGGCCCAATGGTACCCATCCGTGCCTCGTCACCCTTTC